CCATCCATCCATCCATCCATCCATCCATCCATCCATCCATCCATCCATCCATCCATCTATCTATCTATCTATCTATCTATCTATCTATCTATCTATCTATCTATATCTACCTACCTACCTACCTACCTCTATCATCTATCTATCTATCTATCTATCTATCTATCTATCTATCTATCTATCTATCATCTAATTTTTATATTGCTACAATTGTACTGTTTGTGGCCTTTGACTGATGTGTCAAAGGCAACATTCTAAAAAGAGGGAAGGGGGTGCATGGCAAAGAAGCAGGTGAGACAGAAATGAACTTTGATTTCATGCCATTAATTAATTAGAGCAATTAGATTATTCCTTTTTTTTTTTAAAGAAAACTATTGTGTTCTAGTAAAAAATACACTTTGGGGGCAATTTTCAAATTTCTGGGGTATATATCAGTTTTAATGGAGGCTACAGACAGGGGTCCCCACTTTAATCTTTCAGCACATGCATACGAGAGGAAAAAAGGACACGCTTAACAGCAAAAGGAGTTTGGAAACAGAGCCAAGAACTCTTCACTTGCCCAACAGGATCCTTCCAATTCAGTTTAATTTGTTCTAAACTGAAACAAATCTGTGCAATCTCCACATAAGAGATTTCACATTGTAACCAGATGAGTGCTGAATTTATTTATAAAAACAGATGGAGCTGTGCTAGTTGAGTCCCAGGCATTTGAACACCTTGTGGATCAAAAGCATACGTTGGTGGGTCCACTCTGCTGACACCTGTAATTGGATCCACACATTGTGCCAAGTCATACTTTGTTTAACCATAGTTTTTGGGCTAACCATAATGTCCAGATTTTTTTAAAAAAATGACATAGCCAAGGTAGGGCCACAGTTTTGTGGTCGGGGGCACATTTGACAGAGAGGTGAGAGTTGCAGTGGACAGGACAAGAGTGCGAAATGAGTACTGACCACTTCATACATGTGACCAAGATTTGGCAGGCTGATTCTTTAGGCTAGCAAGTAGGCCAATGGTTAATAACAAAAGTCTATCCATTCGGGTTGCGTGGTGCTTTGGGTTTGATTCCAAAAAGTTGCTTTAGAATGTGTGGGAGTGCGATCATAGCACCTGTTTGCAACACTTTCAATTGACTGCATCTTTTCTTGGATCACTTGGCTTCCCTCTACAATTGTGCTATGAACCTGGATAAATATCAACTGTTTTGAAGAGTTGCAAACAGCCCCCACCCCCATGCTTGTCAGAATATCTTTTGGAAATCAAATCTGAAGCAATCCACAGCTCTACTATTTCTTTGAAACAGTGAACAGATGATCAGATTCTCTGATTTATTCCCCCTGATTATATGCACTTATCTGTGCTCTATGCTGTATTTCTAGCTGGCTGTTATGGGCAACAATTGTCTGAGATGGGTCAGAAGTCTAAGTTCCTTGAAAAACAAATGTTTCTCCACCTGCTTCCACAAAGACCAGTACCTGATCTGAAGGTTTTTGTTTTTCCTTAACCAAATCTTAGCTTTCACCACCCCGATCCCTTTTCACAATGTCTAAAAAATGATAAAAGCAGTTATTCTTGGTCACTTGCAAACTTCCAGAGTGTCATTCTGTCAGTATGACTGGGGGGACAGATTTCACATAAACCAGGAGAGGACGATCTGAGGGCTTTCTGCCTAAAGGCATAGTTGAGTTCCTTCACCATCAGAAGGCTCAAATGTGCATCCTGTAAGCATAGAATGCGCTAGGAGTGGACTAAGAAACTTGGCTACTTCTCAGTTTTTAAACCCTTAGTTCGCTGCAGATCTTTGCCTCCTATCTTTTGATACATCCAGACTGAAATCTGGCTCTAAGTATGCTTCTGGCCTCATTCGCTTACTCTACTTCCTTGTTCTCCTGGAAGTCTTCATCTGGGGACAAGGCAAAGCTTCCCTCTCTGTTCCAATCATTTATTGTTTCCTGCAGTAACTCCTTTCTAAAATCAATCAAGTAGTATCATTTCATACTACTCAGCAGAAACTTCCAAATTCACTTCAGTATATGGTGTAAGACCTACGTTTGGGCAAATGCTGACCCAGGGGTATAAGCAGGGATAAGTCCAAAAAATCATGATGGCAGTCTCCACCATATAAATGAAGCTGTGCCCCTTTTTTACACGTGTCCCACCCATGATGCATGTGAAAGAGGGGCAGGACTTTGACTATGGTCATGACCATCGTTTTCATTTTTATGACTCATCCATGTAGACTTCCTGTGGTGGCCTCTAGGCTGCTTTCATTGTCTTTTAAGCCTAACTTAGAACTGTGCTAACTGTCCTAACGGTGATACGTTAGGAACCAAAACTTCCAGAACATGGCCACACAGCCCGGAAGACCCACGTCAGCCATCGTATTCCGGCCATGAAAGCCTTCGACAATACACTAACTTAGAAACTTTTCTGCAGGAGATCAGTTGAGATCTCTTGTGAGAGCGATTTGTCCTTTTGACGCAGCATTCTTCCCATGGGAGTATACTGAAAAGAAAAAACAAAACTGGACATTGTCACTGCTTTCAGATCTTTTGAACTCTGCTGACTGTGTGGTGGGATATTTATTCATTCCAGGCACCCAAAAGGCCATGCTTGTCTGTCTAAATGCCATAGTTTGGTTAACAATGGAGTCCAGGAGGTTCTTCAGATCTCAGGTGGATGTAACTTTGATGGTGTTCAGTAGTTCAGTCACCTCTGACTCTTTGTGACTTGGTGGCATCGTTTTAGCAGGATTGTCTGTCCATAACTGCTCCTTTGAGTCTTGTAAGCTCATGGCAGTGTCATCAGTGCTATCACCTAGCCAACTCGTCTCCTGTTGTCATTTTTTTTTACTATCTTCTATTTTTCCAAGCTATTTTTCCAAGCTTTGTGTTCCTGTACACTGCAAAGCACTTCTTTCAAACACTTTGCACAAGCCTAACATTGACTCTACATTTAGCTAAGTGAAGTATTCCAGCTAAACTCTTGTATTTCTCAAACTGTATTGCTTTTTTTTTTTTTTGGTCCAAGTTTGATTTCTATTTTTTCTAGATATTTCACTTGAGATAAGTTCAGTGCCAAAGATGGCAACTATTTAATTTTACTTGTACAGGAATTTTGTCACTCCTAATTGCAGCAAAATGGGCTTCATGTATCAATTTTCCATGGTGGCAAGATGAGATGCCAATAATATAGTGAAAACAAACTGTGCTAAAGAAATTAAATTAAAAAGACATTTGCTTCTTCAATTGCTTTAAGAGGAGGAAAGAGTGGAGGAACACTTAAGCTAAACTACCTTGTCCTTAAAATGTGCAAAACTTGTGTCTTCCCCTGAGCTGTAACATTTGTCTGGAAGTCATTAGTCATATTAATTAGCAAACGGTTGGTGTGACCAGTATCTATCTTGGAAAACCTCTTCTATCTAGAATTATTCCCTTCTATCTTGAATTGTTCCCTAAACCTCTGAAGGATGCTTGAAGAATTCAATCTTTGCTAATTCTGTTAAGAACTGACTTGAGACAGACTGTTTGATGAATATATAAACTGGATTTTAGTTCCATGGATTTTTTTTATTATTATTTAAGTGCAGATGAATGTACTTATTTAAATGAGATGGAATTATGGATTAAAAACATTGGAAAGAGATAAAGATGAGAAATACAGAGATTCATCTCATCCTAAATTCTACTTTTTTTTTTTTGGTCAGCACCTTCAGGGTTTTAATGCATTTATTGGCCCCGCTGATGTAATTTTAGAGGTGGCATTCATTTCCATTCTTTTCTTCCTTGCTTTCCATGGAGGTATAACTATACTTGATTTCTGTTTTAGCTGGCACAAGAAGGGGGTTAGGGAGCCCTGATCCGTCTCCTCCCAGTCTTGCATTTACTGCATCAACATAATCTCGTGCTGCTTTCTTTGGGAGTTCATAAGGGTATATATGAGGGTCCTTCCAAAATTTATCCCCACAACCACCACTCTGGTGGAGGGAGGAAGGATGATACAGTGTGAGTCATTCAGTGAGATCAAGTAGGGACTTAAAAATGGGTCCCCGGGTACTTCAAAAATACTTTCTGAACTCTTTGAAACTAAGCAAGGTAGGAGCTACAGGAATCAAGAATGTCGCTGAACTGTAAGTCCCAGCATTTCTCATCGTTGGCAAAGCTTCCTAGGGATTCTGAGAGTGCTTTCGCAACATTGGAAGTGGTACAGTTGGCACGCCTGCCTTAGGGAATTATGATGTTCCCCGAGCCCAGGCAAAAAGAGAGAAGGTGGATTGAAGCCTAATAGACAGAGGCTGCTAATTGTTTGTCTTCTCCCTTGTTTATTACCTCTGTCTTTATTATCTCTAGTGGCTAATGGCTCCCATTTCTCCCTCTCAGAGAGAATATTAATGATGTTGATAGTGGCAAAGTGGCCCAGCTAAAGCTGTAACATGATGGAAGCTACATGTCTCTCGGATGAAGTAGGAAAATAAAGGATTCCTGCCAAAAAGGGGGGAGTCCCACTAAGATACGGGCAGGCTCTGGACTCAAACAAGCAAACCAACAATGAGGAATAACAGACAGCCAAAATGATTGCTTTGCTATGATTCCTACTGCATCCCCCTCAGTTTTTGTGCCTCCTTTCTGATTATCATTGTACTTTTTTTTTTGGTTTTTTGTTTTTTGCTGTAAAGGGGATATTTTATTCCGGTTGATTGGTCCCTGTTTTCACTACATCCATGCAACACTTGTTATTTTAAACCTGAACAGCTATTTTCCCATGACAGGCTTACCCAGGGTTTTAATTTTTTTAAACTGCTGAATATATCTATTCTGAACCCAATGGCTGGTTTGCATGATCCCCCAAACATCTTAACTACACAGGTTGATTTACCCCCACACACAGAGTTAAAAAGTTCATGGTTCAGTGGATCATGTGTCACTGTGTTGAGAACAGAGACATGTAATGGAGAAAGTTGATGCAAAGTAAAACTTCCCACAGGAGGTTACCATCTCCATAAATACATCATTTGAATTTCCTATTAAGATTCAGGTGGATTGGCATAAGACGTGAAGTTTCTCTTTTCCGTTTTCATGGGGCCACGTCTATGGGCAGGGGGAAACAATTACCATCTCAAAGAAGCATTTCAAGGATATGTTCTCTGTCCTAACTGAACTGAAATCAAAGCAAAAGGAAAGCAAGGAACTTACAATGACAGACGGGGAGGGGGCGGTCCCAAGTGCCATCGCCCTGACAGGTAAGGACATGGGTGCCCAGTAAATAATACCCATGGTTGCACTGATAAGAGACGGTTGTTCCATAACTGTATCTGTGAGGCCCACTCGGTTGCACTTGCCGGATGCTGTTTTCCAGGTGCCCGGGATCGGTACAATTTACAACTGCAAGCAAGTCATAGAAGATAAAAAGAACATGAACAAAAAATCAGAAAGTGTTACAAAGAGGGAAAAGGAACTGTAAGAAACTGCAAGACTCAGATCCCAATGAAAGCAATTCCCACTGAAACCGTTTAAGGCTCAAAGAAAAATTCATTTATTGAGAGAGTAGTATACAATTGCTGAGACTAAAGCCTGAGAGCACCAAAACCCAGTTTCACCCCCTTTCTATTTCACATCCCCCCTTCTGTCCCTTATCCCTCCTTGCACATGCCCCCAGGTTCCTTCTGGTCTCATGCTGGTACGACCTTGGGTCTTCCCGGGAAACAGATAACAGACCATCTGCGCCTCACGGTTCACCTTCCATCTCTCCCCCCCCCCCCCCCCCACACCCTTTCTCATGTAATGGCAGAAACGCAGCAAGCAGGCTAGCAAGACAGGTTAATTGATTGCGAGGCTACTGACAGAAACCCACTTTTTTCATTTCCTTTTTGAACCTGACGTAGGAGGATATCAAATCCGGGGTATCTACGAACGTGGGCATTTGTGTTAAAAAAGGTAGTGGCTGCCAACACACAACTGAAGTACCACGTCTTTTTTATGTGTTATCACACATGTAACACCCATCAAAAGGGGGTGGGGATCTGTGTGGTTGGAGCTGCCATCTTGATTTTTGAAACCCCTCCCACAGATGCCACTGGATGAAATCCTTGTGTCAAGCTTCTCCAACATTTGGATCTCCCCTCCCTCCACCCCCATTCTCTAGGTAGAGGTAGAGGTAGAGGTAGAGGTAGAGGTAGAGGTAGAGATGCCTAATTTTTGCTCAGATGAATCACTCAAGTGCTGGCAAGATAGGTTTTAGTTCAGGAATGAAGCAAAGGCAGGACACTCTTTGCAATCCAGAAGAATTTAGGAATCGAAATCCCACTGAGATCTTTAAGCACAAATCCAGTTGTGTCTCATCCAGTTGGGTGTTCTGGCCTAGGACCTTCTTTATTTATGATGATTACCCACTGTAACTACAATTGTATTTATTTATAGTTGTCATGAATATACTCTGAAACTGGCCCTTCTAATTTATTTAATGCCAAGGTTTAAATATTTATTGTAATATGGTGCTCAGAATGCACTGGGCCTTCTTTGCAAAAGATAGGCTCCATCTGAGTGGGAGGTTCTCCTCTTCCTCTGCACTTCTATTTTTTCCACTTCTTTCCCCCCTGTTCTCCTTTGTTCATAGGGAGGGTGCTATAAGGGAGAAGGCCCTGCTCCTTCTGATGTACTGGAGATGGATTAATAGGAACTGTATGGAAGAGGTCTGGTGGTTGGTTGACTAGAGCTCATTGATGAAGTAAAACTAAACAATGCTCTTGGCTCTTTATGACTTCCACTGCGTACATTTAAATAATGGCTTAAACATTATAATTATGTATTTTGGATAGACTTTATTCAGTTAGTTTCAGTTTTTATGGTTTTATGGTTTTTGCAGTTTTATTGTGGTTCTGAGCCACCCAGAGTTGCGATTTAAGGTGGGCAGTCATACAAATCTTTTAAATAAAAGAAATAATGTTATCATCTGATTTGAGTTTTAATCATCAGCAAGCTGTTAAGCTAGGGGCTTCCTCTTTGTCTGTGTTTTCCACATTACACGCAAGCTGAACTATCCTGAGCTACAGACCCCTCTTTCTTTCAAGAATCTGCTGGCCCATGTTGAAAAGAAGCACGGTCATGTTATGCCGATGGTGGTTCCATCAGAAGAGATGCTGCTCCAGGCTGTAAAACAGGGTTTAGATTGCAGAGGTAAAGGGAGGAGGAAGGAGGGGACAGAGACACATGACTTACTGCGACAGATGGGCAAGGCATTACTCCACTGGCCGTTAGCCAAGCATTGGGACTTGGGTGTCCCTTCAAGGCGATATCCAGTGTTGCATGTAAACTTGGCAACATCATTGAGGTTGAACTGAGTGCCTTGGGTCAGACCATTTGCTGGATTGCCTGGGTGACCACAGGTGATGGCTGCAGAGAGAATGCCAAGATATTACTTCCCTGCCTTGTTCCCTGGCTGAAGGATATATGCAGCAGAATATAATGAAGAGCTATGGCTGAGAATCCTCCCAGGCCTGTCCATCTTCTGGCAGCATCTGATTTCTCTTCCAGCCACACGATGGAAGTCACCCTTACTAGGGTGACCCTTAACTAAGCTTAGGAGCCGGTTTTTCAAGGGTTGGGGAAGGAAGATACTGGCAATGCCTCTTTGAAGGAAGAACTTTATTTTAGCAACAGGGCTTTTTCAGAGGCTCCTGGCCTTCACCAGCCCCTCTCTGTTTCTGCCAGGCATTGTTATTCTGATACCTTCCAAGGAAAATGATGCTTTCCACCATGTGGGTAACAAACCAACAGACAAATAATCCGAACAACTCCTTCCAACTACTGGCTGCCAAGAAGAGCTTGACCATTGCTGCTTTACAGACATAGAAACAACAGCAACAATAATAAGAACAACAACATCTGCCTATCCCAGGTCCTTGGGAAGGATTCGACAGGTGGATAAAAAATGGCAAATCCAGTCTAAACATCTGGCCGGCTGTGCAACCAACCATAGTAATAGAAACCTGGCCGTGTACCATCACTACAAGCACCATGGGAAGCCCGACCTCCTCCTGAAGCGATGAATAATTTATGCAAATTGCCTTAGTTTGGTGAAGGCTAATGATATCCTCAAACATTTAACTTAATGTTTTAATGCCATTGTACACCGAGGTGTTACAGTAGGTGGTAGCATTTAGCTTGGCTGATCTCAGAAAACACCGTTGGGCTTCGGTATATGGATGGACACCACCAGAAAGGAAATAGGAAATTAAAATATGGCAGAAAAAATGGGTAAATCACTTCTATACAGTTCCCAAGAAAACTATATGGAAGTCTTCATATAGTCCCCATGAGCTGAGCTTAACCTGAAGGAAGATTTCTCTTTCCAACACTTAATAGGAATACCCTTTATAGAAAAATTCCTCTACATTTCCCCCATGTATCTCCAACTTAGCCAAGCTTATCGGCTCTTCTTAGGCATAATGTTAAAATCCTCAGAGCTATGCACTCACTGAAACAGAATGCTGTCTCCTAAAAAAGTGTATCGGGGGATAAAGTAAACGGCGTGCCACAACATTTCCCTTAAAAACGTGAAAAAATACACTGTAACTTAAAAGGTTCTAGGCTGCAAGAAAATGTGCCAGATCAAACTGTCCGCTTTCTAATTCTTTATTTCTTACAGATCCACATACAAAACATGCCAGAAAGAGGGATTTTTCCAGAATCCAATATGAATATTCTGCCTTGATGTACAGTGCATGGATGTTATATCCCACCACTGTGCTGAGAACATTGGACATCTTTTTCCAAGCCATTCCCATCTCTCAAACATCCATTTTTTCCCCAAGGGTGTTTATGATGCCCCTTTTCAGATGTTAGGTCTTCTGTTCCCTCCCTGAGACAACGTATTTCAAAGTTACTGTACTATCAACTTGTCTTGTGGGACGCTGTTATGGGTAGGCGCACACCAAGCACATAAAATGGAACATCAAGCAGGATACTTTTCTATAGGCATTGGGAAACTAACTAGAAAGGGCTGAAAGAAACCAGAAGGGATTAAGTTCATATTGGATTATAAAATAGGTTTTCAAATTTGAACAGAGTTAATAGCCTGCCAAGGAGAGAAAGGGGAGGCCCTGGAAATATTTATTTCATATCAGAGAGTGAGCAAGAAAGTGAAATGACGGTTCAAACCAGCACACATTCACAGACAGAAACTTTTTAAAAAGAATGAGCTTATACAGCAGCAACCTTACATTGCTATTGACCAGCCCAACCACAAAGCCTTTCTTGCTCCTTATAAACACAACAGATACTACATCTTTACCTACTGGCTAAAATTACACCATAACCCCAGTGGACTGA